TCCTGCCTCCCACGGGAACGGCTGTCGCAGGATGACAGCCTGGGCCCATCTCTCTAGCCTTCTCAGGCAGCCTGCATGGATGGAGAGGCACAGTTCCAGGCACTGACAGTAGAGCAGTGAACAGGATGGATGAAGCCCTGTCTCATGGAGTTATGATCTGGTGGGAAGGAAACTGAGGCCAGAGGGAGGAGCCAGTGTGGGAAGCAGTGCTGGCAGAACAGGAGGGCTGGGCCGGTCCACTCTCAGCCGCCGCTGGTGCATCTGGGCTGAGCAGGGCTGGGCTGGAGCGACCCCCATGCCAGGATAGGGTCACTGTGTCACTTTTGTGGCCTTGCCTTGGGACTCTGGGCACTCTCGCCATGGTTTTACGTCAGGGGAAGCCGCCAGGGCCTGATCTTGGCTCTCCTAAAGCCTAAATGAGCATTGTCAGGGGTCATTTATTAACTTGCTGCCTAGAACTTACCATCCCACCTGCCTCCCCCCATGCCTCTGGAAAATTGTTCCAGCTAAATTGAGTGTGGGGGGAAGGGGAAGTGGGGAGAGTGTTTAAAAACCACTCTCATTGGCTGAACAAAAACTAGAAATGCATAAGTCTCCCCTTCTCTGGGGAAAAGAAAGAGCCACCAAACTGCCTGAGACACAGAGGGAAAGAAGAGGGGATGCAGAGAAAGAGAAATGTATCCCTGGTGATCTAGCACTTGGAGCCTGTTTTCTCTTTCTGGCCTCCTATCCTGCCTCGGCTCCCTGCTGCCCATCCTGCTCCGAGGCAGCTCCTCTTCCCAGCCCTGTGCAAGACGCACCCCCCGTGTGCCTAGGAACAGTACATTTAAATTCTTAGTCCTTGCAATAACCTAAAGGCCAATTTGTCCATTTATTAAGGAAAAGATTGCCAGAGAAGTTAAGAGGCCCAACATTGCCTAGTTAATAAGTAGCAGAGCTGGAATTTAACCCCAGTTTCCTGTTACACCGCCAGATTACAACATGCTCTTTTTGCTACTCTGTTTACTTTCTATCTCAAGCCAAAAAACGGTTACGGTGTATCTCCTGGATGCCAGGTACAGCTGAGAGCTTTCCGTTGTCATTCCCCGGCCCCAGGACCACGGTTCCCGTCCCTCCACCCTGCTTCCCTTCTCAGATGCTCCCACTGCCAACTCCGTCTCCCTTTCCCTGCCCATCTGCGTCTGCCCCGCCACTGCCGCCACCCCGCAGCGGCCTGCGGCCGGCAAGGCCAGGCGGCGGCAGGCCTGGCTCGCTCCGTGTCGGGACTGCGCGGCCACAGGCAGGACGGAGCTGTCTCACTGCGCAGTCGCAGTTGCTCCTGCGCGGACCGGACGGGCAGGTCAGCCGAGGGCCCGGCCTCCTCTTTGCAGAGAAGCGAGGCATAGAGCCAGACAAACAGACGTGGGGGGCGGCGGTTAGCTCCTCCGGGAAGATGGATCGAGGAACATTGAGCCCCTGGTGGCAGGCCCAGAGCGGAGACACCACGGGGCCGCGAGGGCCAGGGTGGAGGCGGTGTCCCGCGGGACCACAAACAGCAGCGAAAAGCAAGCAAAGACGTAAAATGCTTCCCCAGTGCCATGTGTGTTATGGGGAAAACAAACAAGGGACTGAGAAAGAGGTCAGTGGGGGGGTCAAGAGAACAGGTCACACGGGAAACGCAGGGACACAGACGGCAGGAAGGCAGGAAGGCAATGGGGAGGAGACCCAGCAAGGAAAGGGGCTGAGGGCCTGTTTCTCTGGGACTAGGGCAGTGGGACCCCGGCCAGCTGCTGGTCCAGCTCCTGGCACTTTCTGGCCCTAACTCATTCCCCAGCCTGCACCCCACACCCAGCCACCGCTTAATGATTCACTCAGCCTTTCCCCGGCTTCCTGCGCGGCAGGGAGGGGCCGGGCAGAGCCCGGGGCTCTGAGGGAAGCCGATGGGGACAGGATTGGTGGGAAGGAGTGGAGCCCAGCCTGGTTCTCTGGCTCTTGTCTCTGTCCCGGTCTAGTCTCACCACAAAGCAAGTTCTCTCCGCGGAGATGGTGAGGATAACTAGACCCAGCTGGAGGCCCAGATTCCAGATGTGGGAGGTAGTGGCGAAACAAGATCCTGGCATCCCTTCATTCCTCCTTCCTGCCTAATGCCCTGGAGAAATTTTCCATCATAAACAAGTTATGCGCCCCTGATCCGGTGCCTCCCCTCTCCCCCACCACGCAGTTCCCCTCCGTCATATCTGTCCCCCCATTCCCAACTCACGTTGGTGTGAGAGTGAGGGTCTGTCCACCTGTGTAAGCAGCCACCAACTTAGCTGGTCACTGTGTAGCCTGCCAGTTGCCGTGGAGTAAGGCTGTGGGAGGCCCCATGCCCCACCACGGGGTGCAAAGGTGATGGCAGGCGTGAAAGACATGGTGGTGGAGGAGCTATGTTTTATGCCTGCCCAGAAGAGGTGTGTAATGCAGAAGGGGTCTTGTGACGGGAGTAGTGGGTGTGAAATAAAGTAACATACAGGCCCAGGAAGCAATTGCATGTGCAGTAACGATGTATCTATTTCTAGCCCAATTACTGGGCTGTCCTCTTACTTGCGTTCCTACACATTACTTGGTTGAAAAATGCCCCTTAGTGTTTCTTGTTTGGTGTCTATGTAAGAATCGTGCTAGCTTTTCTCAAGATGTTGCGAATTTGTACAGGCAGTTTGGAGGAACATACCCATGTCTCCAAAGCTCGGGATGACCCAGCCAGCGTGAGAATGCCATGTGGGCACTTATAGTTCAGCATTTTCATCTTTCATGTAACAAGATTATCGAGCAACTATTGCCTGCAAGGTGCTGTGCTGGATTCCGTGGAGGACGCAGGCAGGTGCAGGGCAGCCAACCGCAGAGGCCCAGCCTGCGCTCACTCTGCGCCCCAGGCTTAGCATGGTGGTGTTTACATCTGAGCCAGACGCACTTCAAATCCCTGGAGTCTGCGGGCCGGTGGCTCACGCCTGTAATCCTAGCACTCTGGGAGGCTGAGGCAGGCGGATTGCTTGAGGTCAGGAGTTCGAAACCAGCCTGAGGAAGAGCGAGACCCTGTCTGTACTATAAATAGAAAGAAATTAATTGGCAAACTAATATATATAGAAAAAATTAGCCGGGCATGGTGGTGCATGCCTGTAGTCCCAGATACTCGGGAGGCTGAGGCAGGAGGATCGCTTGAGCCCAGGAGTTTGAGGTTGCTGTGAGCGAGGCTGACGCCATGGCACTCACTCTAGCCTAGGCAACAAAGTGAGACTCTGTCTCAAAAAAAAAAAAAAAAAAAATCCCTGGAGTCATCTCTGATCTTTCCATCCTCTTGCTGTCAGCAACTCTCCTTTCTCCATGCTCCCCTCCCCAGTGATATCCATCTCATTGCCAAATTCCAGTGATCTCATGCTAGGAATGTGGCTTATGGCCATTTTCTCAGGCTGTTGTCACCTCCTACCTGGGCCCTTCCAATAACCTCCTGTCCTTTTCCTCAGTCTCTTCCCATCCAGAGAATACTCCTTGTCCCAGTCAGTTTCTGGCTTGAATTTTTCTCCTTTTATCTCATCCTGCAACCCACAAGCTTCATGGTCTTAGAGTCAAAGGAGGCTCCAGGCCTGGCCACTGAGCTCCCCCACTCTGCCCAACTCTCCTAGCCATACTTACTTCCCACTCCTCCCTTACAGGAAACTTACTCTGACATTGTTTTTCTTGTGATTCCCCAAACACATCCTGTACTTTTCCAGCTCAAGGCCTTTGCTGATTCCATTCTTACAGTCATCCTCCACATCTGAATTTGTCATGTCCCATCTACTATTCGAGGTCATCTCAAATACCACTCTTCCATGAAGCTGTCCCTGATTGATTAGACAGATGTGAACATTAGCTCTTTTGGGTCCCCCTTAACTTGTGGTCTTTAGTTTTCTTTCTTTTTTATCTTTCTTCCTTTCTTTCTCTCTCCTTCCTTCCTTCCTCCCTTTTTTCTTTCTTTCTTTCTTTTTTTTTTTTTTTTTTTTTTTTTTTTTTTTTGAGACAGTCTCTGTTGCCTGGGCTAGAGTGCTGTGGCGTCAGCCTAGCTCACAGCAACCTCCAACTCCTGGGCTCAAGCGATCCTCCTGCCTCAGCCTCTCGAATAGCTGGGACTACAGGCATGCCCCACCATGCCCGGCCAATTTTTTCTATATATTTTTAGTTTGCTAGCTAATTTCTTTCTATTTTTAGTATAGACGGGGTGTCTCACTCTTGCTCAGGCTGGTCTCAAATTCCTGACCTTGAGTGATCCTCCCACCTCAACCTCCCAGAGTGCTGGGATTACAGACATGAGCCACCATGCCTGGCCTCTTTCTCTTTTTTTGAGACAGGGTCTCCCTCTGTCACCTAGGCTAGAGTACAATGGAGTGATCGTAGCTCACTGTAACCAACTCCCGACCTCAAGCAATCCTATAGCCTCAGCCTCCTAAAGTGCTAGGATTACAAGCCCAGCCCTACTTGCACTTTAGTTTTCTTAGGACCCTCAAGAAAGTCCTCCAGGTTCTGCCTGATTGTTTGAGGGCAAAGAAAGAAAGAAAAAAAAAACAAACCAAAAACCAGTTCTCCTGGTCATGGTCCCCTCCCCATGCTAGAAGGTAAAAGCCCCCAAGGCTGCAGTGTCTGCTATAATTGGCTCACCCTTCACACAGCACACACACGGAAATTAACCTCAGTACTCACGACTGCACCATCAGCAGGCGCAGGTGAGTGTTCAAAAGACGTTAAATTCTGTGCCCATAAGCAGCTTTCTTTGAGGCAATTATAGAAATATGTCAATTCTAAGTTGAGTAATTACCATTACCACAACATTTGTACAATGTCTCATAATTTAAAATGTTCTTCTCATAAATTTTGTTATTTGATCCATACAACAAAGGGCAAATCTGGATGGCTGCTAACCTCTTGCCTTCGTATTTTGTGGTCCTCTGCACCAGCCTTTATGCAAATATTTCTGCACACACCTGAGTGGCTTTGCTGGGTTGTCCTTATGCAGTCTTTGCTCCTTTGCTGTGTTGCATGTGTGTGCATGTGTGTGGGTATGTTGTGTTATATGCAGATGTGTGTGTTTTCACCTGAGCTAAGGCAGGCACAGTTGTGTCTGTGTGTGCTAGTGTGCTCATTTCTCTTAGTCTTCTTGACTATTTCTGTAATGACTTCTTTCTTGGGATGTTTTCTATGCATACCTACAAGTGCATGAATGTGTTTGGTTCCTCGACCTTGCTGGGTCAGCATTGTAGCAGGGTGGCCAGATATCCTTAAGTAAGCCCTCCACCCTCCCCAGCGATGGGGCCTGTTGGGGAGCCTGTGGCTGAACCATCCGCTAAACCAAACTGTCGTGGGCCCTCTCCAGCCGCCACATGGCTCAACATGTGTCTGTGGGCCCGGATCTCACCCACCCCCACTCCCGACTCACTCACAGCGTGCAGTTGAGCGTAGAGTTGCGCAGGCCAAGGCTCCGCCCCTCCCTTTGTTTAAACGTCGGAATTTCCAGCGGGCTCCTGCCAAATGCCACCCCCAGCTGTGGGCGGCGGCGTTGGGAGAGCCCGCCCAAGTCTCTGGCACCCTTAACTAGCTCTGCCGGTGCCGGGCCGCTCTCCGCCAGACGCTCTGCTCGTCGCGCCATGTGTCGCTCTCGCAGCTCCCTGCCCACCATGACCGTCCTGCGGGCCCCGACCCCGGTCCCCTCCACCAGCCCGGGACCCCGGCGGGGCTCCGGTCCTGAGATCTTCACCTTCGACCCTCTCCCGGAACCCGCAGCGGCCCCCGCCGCGCGCCCCAGCGCCTCTCGCGGGCACCGGAAACGCAGCCGTAGGGTCCTCTACCCTCGAGTGGTGAGTGTCGCCGAAGCGAGCAGCTGGAGGCGGAGCACAAGCAGCCCTGGCGCCGCGGGGGAACGACCGGACTCCGGGCCTGACCTGACCGGTCTCCTGTTATTCTCCCCTTAGGTTCGGCGACAGGTGCCAGTCGAGGAACCGAACCCTGCCAGAAGGCTCCTCTTCCTGCTGCTCGCCATCATCTTCTGCCAGATCCTGACGGCTGAAGAAGGTGTGCCGGCGTCCCTGGCCCCGGAGGACGCCCCCAGCGCCGCGTCTCCGACGCCCGCATCTGCGCCCCCGGTCCTTGAGCCCCTTAACCTGACCTCAGAGCCTTCGGACTACGCCCTGGACCTCAGCACTTTTCTCCATCAACACCCGGCCGCCTTCTAACCCTGACTCCGCACAACCCCAGAAGAATCCGAAAAACCAAAGAATCACCAGGCGTACCTGGTGCGCGACAGCGTATCCCAAACTGGGACTTCAGAGGCAACTCAAACTCAGGACACTACAGTGGAGACGCCAGCCGGTGCCTGGAGCGAGACCGCGGCTCGCCGTGACGGGCGCAGACCCGGCGCAGCGAAGGCCGAGTGGGAAGGAGGGCGTCGTTAATTTATTTCTCATTGCTCCTAATTAATATTTATATGTATTTATGTCTGTCCTCCTGGGTGATGGAGGATGTACGTAATATTTATTTTAACTTATGCAAGGGTGCGAGATGTTCCCCCTGCTGTAACTGCAAATCTCTCGGTATTGACTGAGCTCTCGCGGATTGGTGGAGGCGGAGCGCCTGCAATTGAGGCTGCGCGGGAGGGGAACGGGGGGTAGGGGAGGACGCCTGGGCTGGGAGTCCAGGCTGGTGGCGGGTCGTAGTTTAGGGGCCTCCAGCAGCTCAGCTCCGTGGGTCTACCGTGTGAGGCTTCTGCGACACGTGGGAGTACGGCCTTGGCCTTCGACCTCCTCAAAGTCGCCCCTAAGGGACGGCTGCCGGGTTGGGGGTTGGTGGGCTGTCACGGGGCGGCTGCGTGGGTCCCCCAGTATGTTCTGTGAACACAAATAAACTCGATTTACTGTCAGCAGTCATTTGAGTGTGTCTTTGCAAGCGGCGACCCCCCGCCGCCAGGCGCCGGCGGGAGGAGCGGCGGCCCAGCCCCCAGCCCGCGCTCCTCCGGGCACGGAGCCCCTTTCCAGGGTCACGGGACCCAGCGCCCGCCTGCCGGAAGCCGTAGTGCACTGCCCGGTCTGCGGTTTTCCGGGTTAGTTACGCCGCGGCGAACCCGAAATGTGGCAATCTCCCTCGGCCCGGGTGCCAGGCCCGCGGAGGTCACGTCCCGCGCCCGGGGGCGGAGCGCGGAGCGGCCTGCGCGACACCCCCGCTCAGGAAGGGCGGCGGCGGGGGAGCGGGCTGCGCCCTGGCTCGCCCTGCACCCGGGGCTGCCGCCCGCCCGAGCGGGGCCTGCGGGGAAGGAGGCGGGGCGGCGGGGAAGGAGGCGGGGCGGGGCGGGTCTCCGCAGCTGCGGGGTGCGGCCGCGCAGGGGGCTCGGGCACCCGCCCAGCTTCCGGGAAGGCTGGTCCGCGAGCCGCCCCTGCTCGGCTCCCAGTCCCTGCGCACCCCCGCCCTTCCCGAGACCCCGGCCCGCCGCCGCCCGCGCCCGGGAAGGTGAGTGGGGCAGGGAGATGGAGCCTGCGGCTGCGCAGGGACGCGAGGCTGGGGAAGGAGCTGCGGCCTCCGAGCCTGGAGCTTTATCAGATAAAGGGGGCACCGTCTGCGCTGAGGCGAGACGCGGCGAGGGGAGGGGTCGACCGCGGGCCGGCGGGGCCGGGGGTCGCGGGGGCTCTTCGGGATTTCACGGCGAACAGCTTTAGCGGGCCCTTGGGTGCGGAGGGACTGGGCCGCGGCAGCTGCAGACCGGCAACCTAACGGGAAAGGGCAAGGGTTCGCGCCTGTGGACGCCGTAGGCCCTTCCCCATCCGCAAGGGCTTTCTCTCCTCCTCCTCCTCCTCCTCCAGCTCCAGCTCGAGCCATGTTTTTTACCTGTGGCCCGAATGAGGCCATGGTGGTCTCCGGTAAGTATTGTTCTCTTCCCAGCCAGGGACCCCAAATCCCCCGTGAATCTGGCCTCTGCTCCTTCCTCTCCCTTCAGCTCCTCAGCGCCAAGCTTCTACCCCTGGTGGCCGCAAGCCACCCACCTGGGAGTCCCAGCCACCACCCTGCCAAGACCCAGACTGCTACCCCTCCAGCTCCCAGTTCTCTGCTGTGGGTTCTTCCCAGCCCCCAGTTCCCCAGTCTTCCACGTGCCGGATCCACCAGGGCTGCTCACTGCCCTTCACCTTGCAGGTTTCTGCCGCAGCCCCCCAGTCATGGTGGCTGGAGGACGTGTCTTTGTCCTGCCCTGCATTCAGCAAATCCAGAGGTAGGTGGGAAGAGAACCAGGGAGGGGGAGCCTCAGTTTTCTCTTTTTCTTACTATCTGTCCCTTCTTTTTCCCTTAGGATCTCTCTCAACACACTGACCCTCAATGTCAAGAGTGAAAAGGTTTACACTCGCCATGGGGTCCCCATCTCAGTCACTGGCATTGCCCAGGTGAGGCTCTCAGAGCCTTTCCCCAAAAGTCCACTCCCCATCACCTTCTCTGCCAGGCATTAAGACATCCTCTGACCATGACCTTCTCAATCCCTGCCTGCAGAGAGATTTCTCCACTAGTCCTGCCTTCTCTAGGCACCCTCCAGTCACTTGATTCCTCCTTTCTCTCCTGCTGCTTCGCTGGTTTCATGGGACCTCCACCACACCGCCCTACCTCCACTCTGGCTACAGGTAAAAATCCAAGGCCAGAACAAGGAGATGTTGGCGGCCGCCTGCCAGATGTTCCTGGGGAAGACGGAGGCCGAGATTGCCCATATTGCACTGGAGACACTGGAAGGCCACCAGAGGGCTATCATGGCCCACATGACTGTGGAGGTGGGCCTGGGGGCACAGAAAAACCTGGAAGGGATGCCAGGATGAGGGGAACCTAAGGACCAAGCTAGTCTGTGAGAGACAGTGGATCTGAGACCTCAAGTTCCTTCTTCCTACCATCCTGTTATCATAGGAGATCTATAAGGACAGGCAGAAATTCTCAGAACAAGTTTTCAAAGTGGCCTCCTCAGACCTGGTCAACATGGGCATCAGTGTGGTCAGCTACACCCTGAAGGACATTCACGATGACCAGGTAAAACTAGGCAGTTGATCCCTCCTGCTTCCTGCTTCCTTGCTCCCACAGCTCAGACCCTCCTGAGGACTCTGATCTCTGCACCTCTCCCACAGGACTATTTGCACTCTTTGGGGAAGGCTCGAACAGCTCAAGTCCAGAAAGATGCTCGGATTGGGGAAGCAGAGGCCAAGCGAGACGCTGGGATCAGGGTGAGAGACACAGTGGCTTGGTGGGGGTGGGGAGAGGAGGCCGCCACTGCACAGGGGCTGTAGAGGCTGGCTAGGCAGGGGAAATAGAGCAAGCTCTGACTGTGGCCTTCCTCTCCCCGCTTTGGTGCTTCCTACCTGATCTCTGCGTGGGTAGGAGGCTAAAGCCAAGCAGGAAAAGGTGTCTGCTCAGTACCTGAGTGAAATCGAGATGGCCAAGGCACAGAGGGATTACGAGCTGAAGAAGGCTGCATATGACATCGAGGTCAACACCCGCCGAGCACAGGCTGACCTGGCCTATCAGCTTCAGGTCAGAACCACCAGCCTGGGCAGATGGCCAGGCTGTCCTTTGCCCCACCCCGCTCCTCTCAGCTCTCCATCTCAAGCCACCGTTCTCACATTCTAACTTTGGCCTTATCCTGGCTCTCCATTTCTGCCCCAGTGAGGAGAGATTTAAAAGACCCAAATGTTTCAGCCACAGTGGCTCATGCCTGTAATCCCAGCACTATGGGAGGCCAAGGCAGGAGGACAGATTGAGTCCAGGAGTTCAAGACCAGCCTGGGCAACATAGTGAGATGAGACCCTGTCTCTACAAAAACTAAAAAAATTAGCCGGGCATGGTGGTGCATGCCTGTAGTCCTAGCTGCTCAGGAGGCTGAAGTGGGAGGCTCTCTTGAGCTCAGGAATTTGGGGTTACAATGAACTATGATCATGCACTCCAGGCTGGACAACCGAGTTAGACCGTCTGTAGGGGAAAAAAAGTTTCAGCTGAAAAGCAAAGAAAAATCCAAGAAAGGATAGGGCTGGTCATACTTTGGGAGCAAGTTGTGCCCTGCGCAAGGTACTTGGCTGAAAGAGTGGACTAGAGCTAAGATCTGGCCCATCCCCCACTCGCCAAGTGGTACGTTCTGGTTTGGGTCTTCATATGTGCAGAAGAAGGGGTACCTTTTTCTAATTTGCAAAAGGGCACCCCCCACAGTGGCTAGCAGGAGCCCTGGTGATCGAAGAAGGGTGTGAGGAAGGAAAATACGGACGTGGGCACTGAATCCTGCAAAGGGAGACGTGTGCAGCCCTTGGTGTTGCAAGGAGGTACCGTTGATCCTCTTTATTCATGGATTCTGTATTTGAGAATTTGCCTATTTACTAACAGGTATTGGTAACCCCCAAATCAGTTCTCATAGCACTTTTATGACCATTTGTGGACACGCACAGGGTGAAAAGTGTGAGTCGCCTGATGTATGGTTCCCAGGTGAGGTCAAACAAGGAGATGCTTTGCCTTCTAGTTTCAGCTCTCAGCTGTAAACAGTGTCTTTTTTTTTTTTTTTTTTTTTTTAGACAGAGTCTCACTTTGTTGCCTAGGCTATAGTGAGTGCCATGGCGTCAGCCTAGCTCACAGCAACCTCAAACTCCTGGGCTCAAGCAATCCTGCTGCCTCAGCCTCCCGAGTAGCTGGGACTACAGGCATGTGCCACCATGCCCGGCTAGTTTTTTCTATATATATTAGTTGCCAATTAATTTCTTTCTATTTATAGTAGAGACGGGTCTCACTCTTGCTCAGGCTGGTTTCCAATTCCTGACCTTGAGCAATCCGCCCACCTCGGCCTCCCGGAGTGCTAGGATTACAGGCGTGAGCCACCACGCCCGGCCAACAGTGTCATTTTCATAGTACATTTACTACCACTTTTTTTTGCATTTTAGTGCCTTTTTTGGTGATTTCACTGTTTAAAATGGCTCCTAAGTATAGTACTGAAGTACTGTCTGGTGTCCCTTGGCACAAAAAGGCTGTGATGTGCCTCATGGAGAAAAATATATCTGTTAGTTAAGTTTCATTCAGGCTTGAGTTTTTAGCGCTGTTAACTGTGAGTTCAGTGTTAATGAATCAACAATATATGTTGTATAAGGTATCTTTAAACAGAAACACATATAAAACAAGGTTATATATTGATTGGTTGATGAAAATGTTTTGACCAGGGGCTCACAGGAACCTAACCCTGTACTTCCTTTAGGAAGAAAATAAGTATTAGCTGATTCAATGTTCATCGCTACTTTATAGAACAGAACTGCCATGAATAACAAGAATCAACTATACTTTGAGACCTTTTACCCGAATGATAGGAATATCATGAATTTTGTTTTAGCCAAGAGTTGAAAGTGCAGTGAAGGTACAAAACATCTTTAGTTGTGATGCTAAATTCCAGGGTGGCTTGACAGGTTGAGTGTGGCATAGAGCTTTGCTACTCAAAAGTGTGGTCCACCTGGCAGCAGCAGGAGCTGCTGCTGAGAAGCTTGTTAGAAATACAAAACTGTAGGCTCTGGCCCAGACCAAATGAATCACAACCTACATTTTAACAAAATCCCTAGGTGAAGTCCTAGGTGATTTGTGTGCACATTGGAATTCGGATTTGAAAAGCATTAACATAATGGAAACCACTAGCTTGCAGCAATGCTATGGATAAGGTTCTTAACCTTATAAACATGGGCTTCCTTGTTTGCAAATCAGGGATTGGGCTGTTCACCTTTTTTTTTTGAGACAGGGTCTTGCTCTGTTGCCCTCTAGTGCAGTGGTGTCAGCCTAGCTCACTGCAGCCTCAAACTCCTGGCCTCAAGTGATCCTCCGGCCTCAGCCTCCCAAAGTGCTAGGATTACAAGTGTGAGCCACCGTGCCTGGCCTCTGTTCATTTAG